AACTGCCATTACTTCCCATACATTGTAATAGCTTGCTAATACTTTATAAATGTTTAACTTTTTGAAGCTATGAATCCATACATGTGTGATAAGAACATAAGAGAAGCCAGTGCTGGATCAGGCCAATGGCTCATCTAGTCCAACACTCTGTCACACACTGGCCAAAAATACCAGGTGCCATCAGGAGGTCCAGGAGTGGGGCCAGGACACTAGAAGCTCTCCCACTCCACTGTTGACCCCCCCCAAGCACCAAGAAGACCGAGCATCACTTGCCCCAGAGTCCCTATCTATACCTTGTGGCTAATAGCCACTGATGGACCTCTGCTCCATATGCTTATCTAATTCCCTTTTGAAGCCGTCCATGCTTGTAGCCGCCACCACCTCCTGTGGCAGTGAATTCCATGTGTTAATCACTCTTTGGGTGAAGAAGTACTTCCTTTTATCCATTCAGTTTCATGGAGTACCCACAAGTTCTTGTATTGTGAGAAAGGGAGAAAAGTACCTCTTTCTCAACCTGCTCTATCCCATGCATTATCTTATAAACCTCAATCATGTCTCCCCTCAGTCGTCGTTTCTCCAAGCTAAAGAGCCCCAAGCGCTTTGACCTTTCTTCCTAGGGAAAGTGTTCCAACCCTACACAACTATTCCACTGACAGAATGAATCCTCAACAAAAAGCTGAACAATATATAACTTCAATGGGATATTTCAGTGCATTTTTTGTCACAGTTCACTCTTCGCAGTGCACTTTTCAACAATCTTCCTTTCACCAAGAATGCAGAAAGTAATTGTGATCCAGTTTTACATATTAATAATAGGATTTCTTATTAGATATTTATGCACACGATTGTTGAGAAAGAGGAAGTTGAAACGGAAGGAGACATCCACGGCTATCCATTGGATCGCAATTAAGGTGGAAGCAAAGGCTTTCTTTCTGCATTATAAATGTCCCACAGATCTGTGTCCCGTGTGTCCCTGGGGCCTAAAGAACAGACAGACAGGTGGAGTCCAGTGAACAGGATCACTAAAATATTTATTGCAACAGATAGGAAAACAGAACTAAGCAAGGTATCGCCCGTCAAATCGGTCTGCTTTCTGGCCTATACATGATGTACACGAGATCGTATATCCAATTTTACATCATCGAGGTGACAATACATGGATACATTCATTGGTTACGGGTGGAAGAACATCCTTTTTGTTGGCATAAACCCATTGACTGACCCTTTTCAGGGGTACAGTTACAGGGTAGTACATTTACTTGCACATTTTTTGTGTGACAAGGAACGAGTAGGTCTTCCTCTGGAAGCTGTCAAGGACCTTTCATGTGTAAACAAGGGGCCTCTTTATTGATAGGAGGTGTGAACCCCTGCACTTGTTAGGAGGACAGCCAGACTCTGAGGAGCCATGAAGGGAAACATAGATTGCATACCAAGAGATGTTGGGCACATCCCTTCTTTTCTAATACATTGCAGAATCATAAATCTTTCATCACTGAAGGCCCTGCAGGAAAGGGAGTTCAATTGGTCTCACTTTCGTGTCCCCGACAGGGGACTTTTGCTCTGTAATCTGCAGACCTCGTTAGTACTCCGCATAGTAAAGGTAAAGGTTTCCCTTGCTCGAAAGCCAGTCGAATCTGACTCTAGGGGGCGGTGCTCATGTCCATTTCCAAGCCAAAGAGCCAGCACTGTCCGAAGACTTCTCCATGGTCATGTGGCCGGCATGACTAGATGCCGAGGCGCACAGAACGCTGTTTCTTTCCCACCGAAGCAGTGCCTATTTATCTACTTGCAATTTCTTGCTTTTGAACTGCTTGGTTGGCAGGAGCTGGGGCCGGAGACGGGAGCTCACTGCGTCCCGTGGCACTAAAGTCTCGAACTGCCGAACTACCGACCTTTGAATCTGCAGCTCAGCCTCTTAACTTCTGAGCCACCGCGGCCCAGCACTGCACAGAGGGCTCTCTTTAACCCTGAAGAGAGAGAAAAAAAGTCCTGCAGCTATGTTCGTAACAGATAAAAGAAAGAATGTGCTTTCTGAGTTAGCTTGAGAAGCATTTTTCCAGCCCTAGAACATATGTTCTAATAGCACTTAAATCAATAAACTTTGAGTGAGAAATATCTTATGATTCAATTAGCGCAGGTTCAGATCAGGACTTCTGTATTCTTTCCACAGAAAGAACTTTTTGTGACTCTCGGTGAAAAAAAGATTATTGTTGAAAAGGGCATTACGAACAGTGAACTGTGACCAAAAAATGTACCAAAATACCCATTGATGTTATATAATGTTTAGCTTTTTGTTGAGGATTCTTTCTGTCAGTGGGCTAGTTGTGTAGATCACACATGTATGGATTCATATCCTCAAAAAATTAAAAAATTATAACGTATAAGCAAGCTATTACAATGTATGAGAAGTAATGCTAGTTTACAAAATATATTAAGATTGCCTTTTTAACACGGTGTTTTGTAGTTGATTTTGGGTAATCTTAGAAAGGGGAAATGGGCAGTGCAAGGCCCTGCGTGGCTCCAGATGGCTGCTGAGCCAGGCTTCCTGGGTTAATTAGTGGCCACTCATGGGCACAGCTTCGAGGGAACACTGGTTGTGGGCAGTGTTCCCTCTAAGCCAAGTGAGTGTGAGCTCCTTGTTCAGGAGGGACTTTTTACGGACTCTAATCTGGGAGAACCGGGTTTGATTCCCCACTCCTCCACTTGCACCTGGCTGGATGACCTTGGGCAAGCCGTAGTTCTGATAAGAGCTGTTCTTGAAAAAAGAGCAGTTTCTGTCAAGAGCTCTCTCAGCCCTCCAATCTCTTCTTCTTCTTCTTCTACTACCTCCCAGGGTGTCTGTGGTGGGGAGGGGAAGGGAAAGGAGTCTGTAAGCCGCTCTGAGACACCTTTGGGTAGTGAAGGGCGGGGTATAGATCCAATCTCTTCTTCTTCTTCTTCTTCTTCTTCTTCTTCCCTTATAAAAGGAGTAGGGCTGCAGGATAATGGCGTAGGTCAGGAAGGTGCTTCTGTGAAGGGAACAGGACTGCAGCCTCTGCCACTCTATATGGCATGTGCTATTTTTTTTATTGTGCATATTGTGTGTGTGTGTTAAAGTGCCATCAAGTTACGGCTGACTTCTGGTGACCCCCAAGCAAGGGGCTTTCAAGGCAAGCGAGAAGCAGCAATGGTTTGCCCATTGCCTTCCTCTGCAGAGCCTTCCTTGGTGGTCTCCCATCCAAGTACTGGCCCTGCTTAGCTTCCAGCTTTTGGCGACCCCAGCAAGGAGCAGTGAAGGCGAGTGAGAAGCAGAGTTGGTTTGCCACTCCCACCCAAGTATCGACCCTGCTTAGCTTCCAACTTGGCTTCCTGCTTAGCTTAGCTTCCAACTTATGGAGACACCAGCTTTGAAGGCAAGCGAGAAGCAGAGATGGTTGGCCCATGGCCTTCCTCTGCAGAGCCTTCCTTGGTGGCCTCTCATCCAAATACTGACTCTGCTTAGCTTCCAGCTTATGGTGACCCCAGCAAGGGGCTTTCAAGGCAAGCGAGAAGCAGAGATGTTTTGCCATTGCTTGCCTCTGCTGAGTCTTCCTTGGTGGTCTCGCACATAAGCATCGACCCTGCTTAGCTTCCAACTTAGGTTCCTGCTTAGCTTAGCTTCCAACCTATGGCGACCCCAGCAAGGGGCTTTGAAGGCAAGCGAGAAGCAGAGGTGGTTGGCCCATGGCCTTTCTGTGTGGTCTCCCTTCCAAGTACTGACCCTGCTTAGCCTCTGAGATCTGACAAGGCTGGGCTGTACACCCCCCCCCAAAAAAAATCTCATTGGTCTCTAAGGTGCTGCTGGACTCGAATCCAGCTCTTTCACCCCAGAACGACACAGCTGGAAACTAAGTAAATAATGTCCTTTTTCCTCAGGGTGATGATACTCGACTGGGATGTTCACCATGGCAATGGTACTCAGCACATGTTTGAAGACGATCCCAGGTACTTTTCCGTTTTGAGAAACGCTTCCCCTAATCCAACCTGGTTTGGGAGGTCAGGATTCCGAAGGTGTCCCCACAGGCTCAAAGGTTGGGCCCCCTGATCCATACAATGGCTTTTGTATTTACATTTTTGGCTAGCCGCCAAGGACGTTGGTTAGAATGGAAAGTTGGGGTATAAATATTGGAACTAAGCTAACAACTGGGTTTTTGACTGTTTACGGGGGGGGCGGGGGCGGGCAGGCGACTGTTCATCCCCTCTCGTGATTTGCTTTCCAATGCAGCGTCCTGTACATCTCCCTCCATCGCTACGACAATGGGACTTTCTTCCCCACCTCGGAGGATGCGGACTACGACCGGGTGGGCCGCGGGTCCGGCGAGGGCTTCACCGTGAACGTGCCTTGGAACTGTCCCCGCATGGGAGACATGGAGTACCTGGCTGCCTTCCACCAGATCGTCATGCCCGTCAGCTACGAGGTGGGAGATGCGGCTGACCCAGTCTTGGGGTGGTGGTGGGGTCCGGCTGACATCATATTTCAGTTAGCAAAAAAAGAAAAGAAAACACCACTGGCAAAAAATGAACACGCAAGCAAATAAGCAAGTATATAATAATCAATTAAGCATAACAGCAAGTATAATATATATCAAATAAGCATAACAGCAAATATAACATCACTCAATTGGCCAAAGTGCAATAATAAAGCATAATAGAAACAGAGTCACAGTCTTTCCATGTATCCACTCCAGCATAGAAGCAATATCAGAGTCCAAATTGGAGTGCAAGTCATCAAATTTTCTGAGCCCAACCTTTTTGAACTTGTGGGCGCCTTCGGAATTGTGAGTCACCACTAGGGTTGCCAAGTCCTACCCGGAAGTGATGTCATCACATTTCCGATGACGCTCTAGGTTTTGGGCAAACTCTATGATTTTTTGGGCCTCGAAACGGTAGAGTTTTGCCCAAAACCTAGAGCGTCACCTCCAAAGTTGGAAATATGGTGACATCATCGCGCGAGCACCAGCAGCACCGGGAGGGGGGCTTCCCAGGGGTGGGGCTCCCCCTGCTGGCCACCTGGGCCACGTTGGATTGGGGCCCCCGAAATCGGGGGATCCCCTGGCCCCACTGGGAGAACAGCAACCCTAGTCACCACTACAACATGGCTGCCACCGGATGCAGAGCCAAGCACACAGACACTCACGAGAGGACAGGGGGTGCAAAATCCAGAGGGGAAAAACGCAAGAGGGATAACGCACAGAGGCAGAAGAAGATTCTGAACAAAGGGCGAAAGGGAAGTTAAAACAGACACAGTGAAGGCCAAGGTGAAAAGCTTCTTAATTTGTATGAAAGGAGCCCATAAGCGGCATGTTGGGGAACCCTGAGTTTAGAGACCCCTAGTCATCATCACACCCTCCCAGAACTACAAATCCCAGAGTTCCAAGGGAAGAAGCAATCACCCACAGACTTCAGCGATCAACTGAACTTTCTGTCTCGTTTTCCGTTACTGCGGTATAGCATTTAAACCCAGCAGTGGGGTGGGTGTTGGACATTTCCAGATGCTGACGCAGGTCTTCAAACCACATCAGATGGGCAAGATGTGGATTTGTTCGCACACGTTTGGCCCCAGTCTTGGGTTGGGAGGGCGAGTGCACGTGAGTGGGGAGAGCAACGCCCTGCTTATAGAATAGGACTATGGGAACAGAAGCCCTGACGTGGGCAGCCCAGGCTAGAGCCTGATCTTCAGATCTGGGAAGCTTAGCAGGGTTGGCCTTTGGTTTGTACATGGATGGGAGACCACCAGGGAAGTCCAGGGCCACTCTGCAGAGGCAGGCAGTGGCAAACCACCTCTGGACATCTCTTGCCTTGAGCTGGGTGGCCCTGGTGAGCCGAATCTTGTCAGATCTGGGAAGCTAAGCAGGGTTGGTCCTGGTTAGTACTTGGAGGGGAGACCCTCCTCCAAGGAATGCCAGGGCCATGACTTGAAGGCAGGCCATGGCAAACCAGTGTCTCGTGCCTTGAAAACCCTATGGGCTTTCCATAAGTCATAAGAACATAAGAGACGCCAATGTTGGATCAGGCCAAAGGCCCATCCAGTCCAACACTCTGTGTCACACAGTGGCCAGAAATACCAGGTGCCATCAGGAGGTCCACCAGTGGGGCCAGGACATTAGAAGCCCTCCCACTGTTGACCCCCCCCCAAGCCAAAAGAAGACAGAGCATCACTTGCCCCAGAGCCCCGATCTATACCTTGTGGCTAATAGCCACTGATGGACCTCTGCTCCATATGCTTATTTAATTCCCTTTTGAAGCCGTCCATGCTTGTAGCCACCACCACTTCCTGTGGCAGTGAATTCCATCTGTTAATCACTCTTTGGGTGAAGAAGTACTTCCTTTTATCCGTTCTAACCCGACTGCTCAGCAATTTCATGGAGTGCCCACGAGTTCTTGTATTGTGAGAAAGGGAGAAAAGTACTTCTTTCTCTACCTGCTCTTTCCCATGCATAATCTTGTAACCCTCGATCACGTCACCCCTCAGTTGTCGTTTCTCCAAGCTAAAGAGCCCTAAGCGCCTTAACCTTTCCTCATAGGGAAAGTCAGCTGTGACTTGAGGGAAAAAACCACAACGAACAGGAACAGAAAAGGAGGCACGTAATAGATACCAGTGAGCTGTTTCAGCTTGTGGGGAAGAGGATTGGGGGGGGGGGCAGAAACAGCTGATGGGCTTGTGTCGGATACACTGTACAATCAGAACACCATGGACGAGAGGCAGTTGGCAAGAGAGAGGTTTAAAAGACTTCGGAGTGTGTTTTGGTGTGTGTTTTTTTAAAGTGTGTTCTGTGTCGTCCTCGCTGGACCAAGGGTTCCCTCTCCTGCAAACGGCTGCCAATGAAGGGAAGCAACTTGGAGCATGCAGGCATCCTGGCCACCAATGTTCCCTCTAAGCTGTGGAGTCTTGTGAGCAAAAATTCTACTTTGTGAGCGACTGGCATTAAAGTGGTGAGCGAGCGATGTGAGCCAGAGGCTAAAAAACTGTGAGCTAGCTCACACTAACTCAGCTTAGAGGGAACACTGCTGGCCACTGGCGTTTTTAATAGGTAACATCTATTGGGTATTGTAAATAAGAAGCGGGAGACTGACCAGTTATGAAGGTGCGCAGAGAGTTTATATAGTTATAAAAGTGAATATATACAGAGATATTTACAGGCGATTGAATAGCATGTCGTGCCTTAGTCTGTGAGAACTGAGTCCCTTCCAGTTTACTAAGCTGATAGCTATTATGCTAAACCCCGGCCAATCTCTAACAAGACGATGTAATCACTAACTCTAACAAGACCTGAAAGAGTAACACCTGCTAGAAAACGCCTGGCTGTAATTACATGATTACTAGCATGACAGCTAGGTCTGACAAACAGATCAAACTGATCTATAGTAACTGCTTGCTACTTCTATCACTCTGACATATATCTCAATAACATCAGGGAGATGCAAGGCTTCCATTTCTGGCGGCAGGGGCATGTCTCTTTGTCTCACCCAGTTATGGATCAAAGCTCAGGCTTATGTGGCTGCTGTCAGGTCTTGTGTTGTTCTGTGCTCTGTGGCCAGTCGGGGATCGGCTGCCCACTCAGGAACCAAACGGATGTGCACCTGCCAGATCTATGGGATTAGAAAGGGGGAGAGGGCCCCCCCATCTTCTGTCCCTGAAATGGCAAGTCAGCTGTCCCGGAAGGCGTGCTCACGCGCCTCTTCTTCCGCCGTAGTTCAATCCAGAGCTGGTCCTGGTCTCTGCTGGTTTTGATGCTGCTCGGGGAGACCCGCTGGGCGGCTGCCTCGTGACGCCGGAATGCTACGCACACATGACCCACCTCCTCTCGGGGCTGGCCGGCGGCAAGTTGGCCCTTGTGCTGGAAGTATGTCCGAGTTCCTTTTTCTGGGGGGGTGCGGGGAGCACTGCCGGGGAGACAGCTCTGGGGGGAGGGAAGCATCCGGTGGGAGGGGAGGAAGCGGAGATGTGGAGCTGTCATCGGGAGTCAGCAGGTGGGGTAAGAGGTAGGCAAGAGTCCATGCACACGGTCTAGACGTTGGAAGCAATGACATTCCTACGCTGGTACAAGCAGACTGGGAACAGTGTGGGGCTACATGCAGCCAAGAGGGGGGTAGTTAGAGGGGGAAATGGGTCAGCAAGGGACAGGCCAAGCCCCTCCCTCTTCCCCTCTGCCTCAAAGTGCCCTCTGAGTCATTTGGAGAGCAGGTCAGGTATAGCAGGTGTTGCATTAAACCTGGGAGAGCCAGTTTGGTGTAGTGTTTAAGAGCAGTGAACTCTAATCTGGGAGAATCGGGTTTGATTCCCCCACTCCTCCTCCACATGAAGCCAGCTGGGTGACCATGGGTCAGTCACAAGTTCTCTCGGAGCTGTCCTCTCAAGAGTAGTTTTCTCAGAGCTCTCTCAGCCCCACCTGCCTCACAAGGGTGTCTGTTGTGGGGAGGGGAAGGGAAAGGAGATTAAAAGCCGCTCTGAGAGTCCGAGTGAAGGGCGGGGAATAAATCCAATCTCTTCTTCCTCCTCCTCCTCCTCCTCCTCCTGCTGTATAACACACAGCCCAATCACCTTCTCTCAGACTGACCTTCCTCACAGGGTGTAAAAATGTGTGGGTAGACAGGCGAAGGAGATGGGGCTGGCCAGGAGCTTCACGGCAGAGGGCCACCGTGCAAGATCCCTCTTCGACAAACAGTTGCTGGGTAAAAGTGCCACTCTTGGCAATATTGATGCCGCTTGGCCTTCGCTGACTGGGTGGAGGTGGGGCCAAAAGTGCAAGATGCTTGTGAAATTCGGGGGGGGGCTTAAAATGGGTGATTCCGTGTCAAGGAGCCGAACAGGCTGACCCCGGAGGTTCCCAGGGCAGGAGTACACAAGTAACCGGGCTGACGTTATTAAAAAAATATATATTTGCAGAGTTTATTAAAAGAATAGACAAGTTAATATGAATATAGCCAACAAATGACCAAAAAAGTCATACAAAACAGTAAAGCTAGCTTTTATCTACCTAACGCTTTTGAGAACTCTGTTAAGTGGTGCAAAACTGACATGCAGGTGCAGGCCTCAAATTAGCGGAGGCTGCCATTTCAGCAGTTTGCTGAGCACAGATTCAGGCCTCTGTCCATGAAGTCTCAGACAGGGAACCTTAGCCCCTAGGGGTATAACCTAATTACAGTTTTTGACCCCTCAAACCAGGTGATGGTGACATCCAATCCCAACATACCATCATTCCTGATCTTTGCCCTCCCCACATGAGGAATACCTCATGAGAAGCGAATGCCTTTGGCCTCGGACTGATAAGGGGCCAGGCAGGCCAAAGCCCTTAATTAAAAACACCTGCTAGAAAGAGCCAGGCCAAGTATCTACACATTAGAAGGGGCTTTGCCTCACGTGCCCTTTCTCCGTAAGATGAACATTTGGCTACTGAGAGATGCTGTAGTCACTCTAGTTTGTGTCCCGTCCCCCCTTTCTCCTGAGTTGGTAGCATTTCTGCCCTTGGACTTCAGCCTCACCATCTTCCCTTTAGCGTCTTAAAGACTAACAAAATTTGTGGCAGGGGAGGAGCTTCCATGAGTCACTGCTCACTTCGTCAGATATCTGGTATCAGAAGAAGTTAGCAGTGACTCATGAAAGCTCCTCCCCTACCACAAAAATCTTCAGATACCTGAAGAAGTGAGCAGTGACTCATGAAAGCTCCTCCCCTACCACAAAAATCTTCAGATACCTGAAGAAGTGAGCAGTGACTCATGAAAGCTCCTCCCCTACCACAAAAATCTTCAGATACCTGAAGAAGTGAGCAGTGACTCATGAAAGCTCCTCCCCTACCACAAAAATCTTCAGATACCTGAAGAAGTGAGCAGTGACTCATGAAAGCTCCTCCCCTACCACAAAAATCTTCAGATACCTGAAGAAGTGAGCAGTGACTCACGGACACTCATATCCTGCCACAAATTTTGTTTGTCTTGAAGGGGCTACTGGACTCTTGCTCTTTTTCTGCTGTTACAGACAGACTAACACGGCTACCCGTCTTGATCCATCTTCCCTTTGCATTTTTCTTCTTGCCCCTTGTCCTCAATTTTCCTCCTCGCTCCTTTTTTTATCCCTCCTCCTCCTCCCACTCAGCATCCTCTCCTCCTTTCACGTTAACTTTTCTACGAAGTGAGTGGTTTTGACCTGAAGCCCCAGGTAACACTTCCTGGTAATAGCTGATGAAGAAGAAGAAGAAGAAGAAGAGTTTGGATCTATACCCCACCGGCTACCCGTCTTGATCCATCTTCCCTTTGCATTTTTCTTCTTGCCCCTTGTCCTCAATTTTCCTCCTTGCTCCTTTTTTTTAATCCCTCCTCCTCCTCCTGCTCAGCATCCTCTCCTTTCACGGCAACTTTTCTACAAAGTGAGTGGTTTTTACCTGAAGCCCCAGGTAACACTTCCTGGTAATGGCTGAAGAAGAAGAAGAAGAAGAAGAAGAGTTTGGATTTATACCCCACCCTTCACTACCCAAACGTGTCTCAGAGCAGCTTACAAACTCCTTTCCCTTCCTCTCCCCACAACAGACACCCTGTGAGGTAGGTGGGGCTGAGAGAGCTCTGATGGAAACTGCTCTTTTTTCAAGAACAGCTCTTATCAGAAATATGGCTTTGCCCAGGGTCATCAAGCCAGGTGCAAGTGAAGGAGCGGGGGAATCAAACCCGGTTCTCCCAGATTAGAGTCCACGCACTTAACCACTACACCAAACTGGCTCTCACCGAACTAATCTTTATTCGTTCCCCTGGAACCATGCCCCATAAAAGAGTTTCAAGTTCGTTTGGGGAATTCGGGACGAAAAGTGAAGGCTGTCTCAAAGGCTATTGCCTGTATACAGTGTCTGCGCACGTGTAACATACGTATGGAACACAGCCAGCAGACCTGTGCATAGGTCCCGACCGACAGGCTGGGCTCGGGTTCTGATCCCTCCATTCTGCTTCCCAGGGCGGCTACAACCTAGAGTCCATCTCTGAGTCCATGGCCATGTGCACCCGGAGCCTCCTGGGGGATCCGCCACCCACACTGGGGAGACTCAAGGCCCCCCACCCCAGCGCCCTGCAATCTCTGGCCCGTGTGGTCGCCGTCCACCGCAAGTATTGGGCAAGCCTCCGCCTGGAAGGTAAATGGTCTCCCTTGCCTTGTAGTGGCTCATGCGCTGCCGTGTTGAATCCTGAGAGCTGGCGCAGCGCTGGGGCCAAGTGAGCTGCAGGCTGTGAAGCCCGAAGTTCCTACATTACCTTGGATGAAGGCAAAAGAGAACTCATTTGCACTATATAAGTGTCATAAAACTATTGGTGGTGGTGGTGGAGGGAGGTGCCATCAAGTCGCAGCCAACTTATGGTGACCCCCTGGGGGTCTTCAAGGCAAGAAGCATTCAGAGGTGGTTTTCCTTTGCCTGCCTCTGCGTAGCCACCCTGGACTTCCTTGGTGGGTCTCCCATCCAAGTACTAATCAGGGCTGACCCCACTTATTTTCTGAGAACTGACAGGATCAGGCTAGCCTGGTCCATGCAGGCCAGGGCACAGACAAGCAGAGGTGTTTGGCCATTGCCTGCCTCTGCGTAGCCACCCTGGACTTCCTGGGTAATCTCCCATCCAAGTACTGACCACAGGCCACCCCCTTTAGCTTCCGAGAGCTGACCAGATTGTGCTAGCCTGGTCCATGCAGGCCGGGGCAGAGACAAGCAGAGGTGCTTAGCCATTGCCTGCCTCTGCGTAGCCACCCTGGACTTCCTGGGTGGTCTCCCATCCAAGTACTGACCACAGGCCACCCCCTTTAGCTTCCGAGAGCTGACCAGATTGTGCTAGCCTGGTCCATGCAGGCCAGGGCGGAGACAAGCAGAGGTGGTTTTGCCATCGCGTGCCTCTGCGTAGCCACCCTGGACTTCCTGGGCGGTCCCCCATCCAAGTACTGACCAGTTCCGTCCCTGTTTAGCTTCTGAGATTTGATGAGGTCAGGCCAGCCTTGGCCAGCCTGATCAGGGTATAGCTATTTATAGCCATGTAGAAAGAATACAAGCAAGTCAGTAATAAGAGCTTACACGACACAAAGCAGCCTGATAGCCCAGCCCAGCCTCATCAGAGCTTGGGAACTAAGCAGGGTTCACCGTGGCCAGTCCTCAGCTGGGAGACCACCAGAGAAGACAGGAGTCACTACGCAGATGAAGGCGACGGCAGACCACCTTGGCTCGTCTCTTGTCTCTCACCTCAAGTTGGTTGCAACTTGACAGCCCACAGTGATCATGACACGGACAACGTAGTGTACAGAATGCACTGAACACACTGTTATCTCCCCAAAGTATAATGCAGTTAACAGTGGAGGCAGTCGTAAACAGCGAGGAACAAACGTTGCAAAAGAATGAATACGACTACAAGCTCCCCACGCTCGTGACTCATTTTGAAGTTCTTTCTTCAGAAATTCAATAGACTGGAGCTTTTATCTCACCCTGTGAACAAAGCGTGAAGATAAAAGGCTGTATTCTTTTAGATCTGGAATATAATCCCAGCTGGTCAATTCCATGCCTTTTCTACTTGTGAGAATGCATAAACGTTAAAGAGTGTGTGTGTGTTGTGGAGGAATAAGCTTTTGCCTAATGCATTTCACTTGAAGCAGTCAATCAGACCAAAATGGGCATCCCTTATCCTGGGGCTTCCAGCTTAGATCCAAGCTTACCACTAAACAGCCCAATCCTGTGGGCCACTGTGATGGAGGTGGCTAGCCGACAGTGCATCTGAGGCACTGCTGGTACATAAGAACATCAGAGAAGCCGTGTTGGATCAGGCCAGTGGGCCCATCTGGTCCAACACTCTGTGTCACACAGTGGCCAAAACCCAGGGGCCATCAGGAGGTCCACCAGTGGGGCCAGAACTCCAGAAGCCCTCCCACTCTTCCCCCCCCCCCCAAGCACCAAGAAGACAGAGCATCACTGGCCCAGACATAAGAACATAAGAGAAGCCATGTTGGATCAGGCCAGTGGCCCATCCAGGCCAACACTCTGTGTCACACAGCGGCCAAAACACAGGGGCCATCAGGAGGTGCCCCAGCAGAATAGGGCAGAAAGGAGGAGGGGAAGGAAGCAAAGGCCTACAGTAAGAGTTGAGAGGACAGGAGGTGATAAGGTGGAAAGCAAGAGGGAAAAGTGTCGTGAGAAACTAAGGTCTAGCTACATGGAACCTCCATGTTCATTGGCAGGCAATCTGTGAATATTATTATTTATTCATAGAATCACTGTGTTGGAAGGGACCTCCAGGGTCATCTAGTCCAACCCCCTGCACAAGGCAGGACATTCACAAATACCTCCCCCTCCACACACCCGCAGTGACCCTGTTCCATTCCCAGAAGATGACAAAAAGCCTCCAGGATCTCCGGCCAAACCGGCCTGG